TTGTATCTAGTAAGAAAGCGAAATTAGCAATTTTAAGATGAAAATAAACATTTCATCATCAACATCATTAGAGCCTTTTTCCAACTATTTGGGCTGGGCTACGCGAATCCTGATCCATTGTTATCCTCTATCAAGAGCCATACCGTCAATGAGGCCTCGATCATGGAGCACAACGATAGACTCTAGATTACAAAAAGTTCGTAATAATTCAAGGGAAATTTATCAAATTACCCGTAATAATTCAAGAGAAATTTATCAAATTACCTATGAGAGATGAACAATTTAACACTTTGATATTGTTAGGCTTGATGATAGTCAAAATCACTACATTTATATTTTATTCAAGACGTTAAGGGTATTATGGAAAAAATAAAAAGGGGCCCAAGTGATCTCTACAAAAGAAGGTCAAAGAAGACATAATATTCATCTTTTTTAAGATCATTTATTTGGAGGTTATGAGAAGGGATCTCCAAGATGGAGATGGGTCTTCAAGATAGAGAGAGACATGGCCTCCAAGATAGAGGTGGTATTCCTATGGGATTTTAGGTTAGTTAAGTTTCCACTTCTAGAGAGATAAAGTCTCTTGGTTGATCTCAAGGTGCTCTTTCCGATAGCAGTATAACGGTAGGAAAGATGTTGATCGACGGTGTTACTCGGTCGGGAGAGCGGGTTTAGAAGGGAAGATCGATGATGATTTTTTACTGATGTTTAGAGAGTGATATTATCTCTTGTAACCCAAACTTGTAATCTTCAATGAGATAGTGTAATTCTACTTGTCGAGGCCATAGATGTAACCCTATGGGGCGAACCATGTAAATCACGTGTTGTGGTGGCGTGTTTTTTTGTATTTCTTTTATTTTTTATACTCGATTTATAGTTGTATTCATCTACTTTGTATTGAGCCAATCATGTACATGATCTTGGGTGGGATCCCAGTATATGTGATTCATGGTTCCGCAAGTGAAGGGTTTCTTGATAATCCTACAATTGGTATCAGACTGGAGCCAAGTGAGAATAAATCAAGAAATTTATTCAATGAAGGCCGGCAAGACGAATTTGGTGATTTTGCTATCAAAGTGGAGATTGTTAAGTTTGGTAGCAGTCAAAATCACCGCATCTATATTTTATTCAAACATTAAGGGTATTATGGAAAAAAAAAATGGGTTTTTTTGGTTAACAAGAAAGAAGCCCAAGTGATTTCTATAAAAGATGATAAAGGATTACATAATAATCTATCCTTTTGAGGCTCACTCCTTTAAGGGATTATAGGAAATGATGGAGATGGGTATCCAAGAGATGAAGAGACCTGGCCTCCAAGAGAGGCAAAATTCCCATGAGATTTTTTAGTCCGTTAAGTTTTCACTCCTATAGAGATAGTCTCGTAGTTGATCTCAAGGTGCTCTTTCCGATAGTAGTACAGCTGTAGGAAAGAGGTTGATCAACCTCCAAGAGAGGTAAAATTCCCATGAGATTTTTTAGTCAGTTAAGTTTTCACTCCTATAGAGATAGTCTCGTAGTTGATCTCAAGGTGCTCTTTCCGATAGTAGTACAGCTGTAGGAAAGAGGTTGATCAACCTCCAAGAGAGGTAAAATTCCCATGAAATTTTTTAGTCAGTTAAGTTTTCACTCCTATAGAGATAGTCTTGTAGTTGATCTTAAAGTGCTCTTTCCGATAGTAGTACAGCTGTAGGAAAGAGGTTGATCAATCAGGAGAGCAGACCACTCTTGATATGGGTACAATGACTTGTACCCAACCTGGGTGTAGGTCAGGTTCACTTCTAACTTAGACCTAGTCCCGACCAGACGTGACTGGACATATTCCCACTAACGTTAGCCCAAGAGAGAGCCCAACTATGGCGTGATCACCTTGAAAAAAGTTTCTGAGGACCACTTGGCATTTTAAAAAGAGTGAGGGTCAGTTTCGTTAATGGCTTAAAGGCTCAGTTCCAGTCGACCGTTAGGCTTTTTTGCCTGCATGACACTAGCAGGATAGAGTGAGAAAGTGAGTCTGAACTCTAGAGAGAGAGGAAGAGTTAGAGAGGTAGAGAGTCTAATCCTTAGAAATATAATTGCTATCTCTTGGTGGAACGCTTACTCTTATTAAATCAGCTTTAGCTAATCTGCCAATTTACTTTATGTCTCTTGATAAGCTTCCTTCAAGAGTGATCAAAGCTTTGGAAAGGTTAATGAGAAATTTTCTTCCCGGGGAAAATGAAAATAAGAAATGCTTTCATTTAGTTAAATGAGAGATGGTGTGTACATCTATAAATGATGGAGGGATGGGGATTAGAAGACTAAAACCTATGAACAATGCTCTTATAAAAAGTGGTGGTAGAGAATTGCAAATGAAAAAGATCAATTGTGGAGATAATATTAAAAAAAATATATGGGGAAGATATTGAACATGGTTTGATTGCAAAATGAAATAATACGAAAGGTATTACTTCTTTATGGAAGGGGTTGTTGCTCATGGGATGTTCTTTCTTAGTTATATGCATATGATGGTGGGAAAAGGTGATTCTGTTAGATTTTGTTAGCAAAATTGGATTGGAAATTGTCTTTTGAAGTATCAATTTCCTAATCGTTTTGCAAAGGTTAAGATCAAGAGTAAAATGATTAGTGAGATGGTTAGTGGAAGAGGTTTCAAAGCCATTTGGGATATTCAGTGCCCCTACCGTAAAGTTAGTAATGTAGTGGCATATAAAATAGCAAATTGTCTACTGCTCCTGCAACAGTATTTTTATAGCCGTGACGAAAATGATAAATGTATTTGGGCCCCTACTAATTATGGTACGTTTACTGTGAAATGTGCTTATAAACTTTTCTTGTATGGCATAATTAGATGGGAGGATGGAAGTATTGCTAAAGTCTAGAGATAGCCTATTCCCTTAAAAATTCGGGCTTTTGTTTGGTTGTTAACACGAAAAAAACTGTTAACCGTGGATGTGTTGGTTAAAAGAGGTAAAATTCTTCTAAATGTCTGTTTGATATATAAAAATGATGAAGATACCATGTAACATATGTTTTTTTATTGTGTTGAAGGTAAAAGTATTTGGAGATGGGTATTCAATGGGTTAGGGATTCAAATTAATTTTCAATCCAGATTCACTGATGAATGAGACTTAATTGATGTTGGTAAGAAGAGTAAATATATTTGGAAAATGGTTAAAGCTGCTACAGTTTGGGAGTTATGGAAAGAAAGACATAGGAGAAGTTTTGAAAGCATACTTAGACTTTTTATGGATATACGGGAAAAAATCATAGTGATTGTGGCTAATTGGTTAGCTGTTAATAAGACGTGGTGGGGTGTGTCTCGCATAGATTTGATGTATAATTTATACAAATTGATTAGATAAGAAAGTACTAACAAGGTTAGAATTGGGTTATAGAAAGTACGAAGGTTGGATAACTTTGATGGAAGTTTTTTATCCAATCCACGCCCAGCAGGGGTGGGAGGCATCATTCGAGGTTGTGAAGGTAATATTTTATTAAAATATTCAGCCTGGAATATAACAGTTAATGAGGCAGAATTGAGATATGGACTTCAAGGAGTGCAATTTGGTAAGCAATTTAATAAGCTAGTTATGATTGAAGGGGATTCACTTAATGTTGTTAAGTGGATTAAGAGAGAAGCGGAGTTTATTTGGTTACTACATGGTTTAGGGAGAGAAGCGACAGTAATATGTGATGGGAAAGGTTTCTATGCTTTCCTTATAGCATAGAAGTTCTATCTTTTCCCTACCATCCAACCGTCCAATTTTGACCAAGAGAGTCATTCACCGTTTGATCTTAGATCCGACATTTCAAAGTATTTTATTTTTAATTTTTTTATACAAATTGTATGAATATAAAATTTAGTACGTGCCATCTTATCATTGGGGCACACCTATAAAAAATATTAAAAATAAATTTTTGATAAAATATAATGATCAAAATACCTCTTGAAGTTTTTAGGTGTATTTTGGTCATTTTATTTTATTAAAAATATTTTTTTTATATTTTTCGTTAGTGCGAGTTTAATAGAGAAATGAACGTTCAAAATTTGGTGTCAAAATAATTTATAGAAAAAAATTAAAAATAAAATAATATTGAAACATTGTGATTGGGGTAATCTCAGCTCTCCATTCAGAATAGACGGCTAGATAAGGGGGAAAACAGAACTTCCCAGCTGTAGGGGAAGCATAGAAACCTTGCCCATATGTGATTGCAAGACTGTGATTTATGGTCATGTTTTTAGAGAATCAAATTATGGAAGCTGATAGATTGGGGTGTTGTTTTGTCAAGACCTTGCCCATATGTGATTGCATGACTGTGATTTATGGTCATGTTTTTAGAGAATCAAATTATGGAAGCTGATAGATTGGGGTGTTGTTTTGTCAAGACCTTGCCCATATGTGATTGCATGACTGTGATTTATGGTCATGTTTTTAGAGAATCAAATTATGGAAGCTGATAGATTGGGGTGTTGTTTTATCAAGTTTAAGTGTGGTGATGTTTTTAACGTAATTTTTAGCTTTTTTTGTAATTTTTTTTTTTGGTGTTTGTTACCTTTTTGAATTATGTACTCTGTAATGGATGTTCTGATGAAATGAATGGTTACCTGGTTCTCAAGAAAAAAAAAGCGGCAGAAAGTCTACGTTTTTTAGCGGAATAAGAGAGAGAAAGTCTAGATAAATAAGATATGAAGAGAGAGAGTGTGTTGACCACAGAGAGTGCAATGGGTTTGGAGTTTGAAATCCAAAGGTATATGGAAAGTCCCTGTAGAGAGAGTGAGGCTGTCTTTCTGGCAACAATGACTGCAAGTTCGAATTATTCTTCTTCTGTGTATGATTGCTTTTCATCCTTAGTCTTTGGCGCCTTTTATATTATCCTGACCAACCCTTTTTATGGCCCCAAGGCTTCTGACTCGTACCAGACAGCCCATATCCTCAGACCCATTAAACCTTTTTTTTTTATCCTTTTACACGTGATAAAGAAAGAGAAAGATTTTCCGTTTCTTTTTCGTCTTACTATTTCTCTCTCTACGTATTTTATGTTCTCTCTCTATAAACATATCGTCGTATGCATGCGTGTAAGGGGAGTGATGATGAACAAAAGGAAGATTTAATATCAAGCAGAAGAATAGCAAAAAAGATGAACCCGTTTTCTTAGCAGATAAACCGGAAAAAAACCCAGAAATCTAGAGAGAGAATCGAAGCATTACTTCTCTCTAAGTTTATTACTTGTGGAAACACTCTGAAGTTGCAGTCTGCCTTCTGGGTTTTTGGGCTTTGGGTCTTCTTACATTTTAACCGAGTTTTGAGAGAGAGAGTAATAATAGTTGTCGTTTTGAAATACTCAGAAGCCATTAGCAAGACCTGGTGTTCTTCTCTTTCTCTCTCTAGCATTTCTCCGAGGAGACAATTTGGGTTGTTGGGTTTTGTTCGAGATGAGAGAAGAAACAGAGAATCACGTGGTTTTGAAGAATCAGAAGCCATTAACGAGTATTCAGAACGAGAAGAAAGCTCAAGAACCCCATTCTCAGGTCAAGATCAAAGGGAGAAGAAGACAGAGGGGTAGAGCGAGAAAGGAAGGAAAACTCAATGGAATTCAACATGGAGGTGGCGCTAATGGAAGTGAAATGGAGACGAGTCCTCCTTCAAGCAAAAGCTTCAGGTTTCCTCTTAGACCGGGGCAAGGCCAGTTAGGAACCAAGTGTTTGGTGAAAGCAAACCATTTCCTTTCTCAGTTTCCTGGCAAAGACGTTACTCAGTATCATGTGAGTATTCATTTTCACAAACCTTTCTTTGTTAATTTTCCTTTGTTCCTTTTGTTGCAGTAGAAGAGAATTGATCAACGGGTCTCTGCTTCCCTCCCCCCTCTCTCTTTCTCTCTATCTCCCTCCCTCCCTCCCTCCCTCCCTTTCTCTCTCTCTCTTAATGGCTCTCTCTCTCTACTTGGTGAGTTTTTTGTAGGTTACTATAACACCAGAGGTGGTCTCTAAGAGGATGAACAAGGCTGTGATGGCAGAGCTGATAAAGGTTTACAGGGAAACAGATTTGGGAATGAGGCTTCCAGCCTATGATGGGGCTAAGACTTTATACGCCGCTGGTGAACTTCCTTTCACTTCAAAGGAGTTCACCATCTGGCTTGTTGATGAAGAGGATGGAGTTGATGGCTCAAAGTAAGGTTTCTCTCACTAAAACCTCTCTCTATCCTCTCTCTCTCTATATATCTCTGTCTTCTATTTTGTTGGAAATATCTGTTAGACTTTGAAATCTGTATCTTATTTTATCGAGTAATTGGGCAAGTTCAGTGCATGTTGGTGTCTTGTCCTTTTCTCCTTTTCTCCTCTTTTCATTTTTGTTCTTTTTGGGTTTCTCTCCCCCTTCTCTATTCTCTTTTGCCTTTGTTTGGTTGTTGTCATACCTGATCCAGTTTGCATTATTGTGAATTTGTACTTATTTACATGGATGTAAATATGCCTGGTTCTTGAGTGATTGATATATTTAATGGAATCCATTTCCATGCACATTAAATCAAGGGTTGTGTAGATATAACATGGAAAACTATGTCTTTCATCTCAGAGATGCTGTTTACTTTTCTGAAAGCTTTTTGTTGGTGACTCAAATGATGTTTGCACTGCTGGTTCATTGCTTTCTTACTCTTTTTCTTTAGTTTTTAATTTTTAATTAATTCCCTTTCTTGCTTTAAGTATCTCCTTTCTCTTCTTCCTCTATTAGTACTGTAACAAAATATGTGGCACTGTCACTGTGGCTTTGAGCTTATTTTGAATATCTATCAGCTCTTTTATTCATGGACTCTGGGAAAGAAGTGCTAGCCATTGAACTCATTAATATATGAGTCTTAAGACTTTATTTTGAAGTTTCTACTAGTGATTAAAAAGTAGGAATTGAGTGGGGACTTGCAAGGGTCTCGATCTCAAGTAGCACCAGTCCGACTCAGGTGAGTCCACATTGGACAGGGAAGTTTTGAGAAGGAAAATTAGAAAAATATGAGAAACTGGGAGACTCAGGTGATTATGTGGTTGTGGTGAGGAATTGCCTGGTCCCTGATCTCGTCCAACTCAAGGGAGTCCAGAGTCGGACTGCAATTTTTTAACTCTGATTCTTATCTTCAGGATTCTGGACTAGACCAAGGAAATCTTATTTTGATTTTTAAGGGATACTCTTTTTTCTCCTCTCTCTCTCTCTCTCTCTCTCTCTCTCTACTTACTTACTTGTATTGTTTTCGTTTCGTTTCGGTTCGTACGTAAGGTAAGGAAGGAAGGTAAGTAAGTTAAGGTTAAGGTTTAAGTTTAAGTTTTAG